TATAATTTTTGTATTTATTAGTTGTATTGAATTTTAACATAAAGAGATAAAAAAAAAGTATCCTATGTCCTTACCAAGCTTCTAAGCTACCTCCCCACCAATTTTAAGCCAAATCGGTTAAGCCGTTCTTGAGTTATAAATGGTATAACTAATACGACTTTCTTTTGTATACTATATACCTACTTGTAAATGACAGAAAATATTAAAAAAGAAAAAAAAAAAACAAACACATGCGGGCGCTGTAGCACATGAGAATTTTCATTGGCTCCGCTCTGCTACCGCTCCCAGTTTTTTGCTATTGCTACGCCAGAGCATAGCGCAGCATTTAATTTTTTGTTCTCGCTACAGCTATAGTTTTTTACCTAACAAAACTTGGAGCAGAGTAGAGCACATACTTTTACATTGTTATGCTAAGCCTATACTGAGCCTCCCGACAAAGTGAGAGCGGTAGCGATAGCATAGCAATAATTCTAGAAATATTGCTGCTATGGAGTAGTAAATGAGAACCCTGCAATAACTCACTTTTCAAAAAAAGAAAAAAGATCATGATGAGCTAGCTGCAAGCACCTTGATAAATAGCGCACAATCAACTTTAGTGGAAATAAAGATGAAAAAAGTCCAAAACAAAAAACATAGAGCTTGAATAATAATCTGACAAGCTGAATTAATGGTTTAATAATAAAAATGACAATCAAGAAAAGCGGACAATGCTGTCAAAAGTAGACAACGTTTTTTTTTTTGAAAGTATTTATTATGGTGCTGGGTGACAAGTGGGCTAGGTTTTAATAACGAAGCATTTTTAGAGAGTCTTGTGGCAGTTTTTTTTATTACTGCCTCGCATTTTTTAACCTAACAATTGAATCATCGCCTCGAATAACGTTGTAAGCGCCAAATTTGGAATTTTTTAACAGAGAAGAAAAACGTTTTAAACACGTGGATTCTTTTTTAAATAGTTTTTGCTTAAATATTTATTTATATTACATCTTTTGTTAATATTTTCCAAAAGTTTTAAACAAAAAAAATGTACAGTATTAACAAGGTTCGCTGTTTAAATTTTTTTTAATGGAATAACGTTGTAAACGCCTTGCTTGTAGCGACGATAACACGTTTTTCCACTACACGCAGCATCTTTTCAGCAGAAATCGCTATTGGCTTCTTTCGAAGAACTGGTAATTCATATGGACGTAATATATCTCGCGCATATTTCTGCTGACATTTTGACTTTTTCCTTAAGCTGTGACAATGCCATCGTTCGCCAGTACTGTCATTCATTCTGAGACGTAAAACTTGCATGTCATCTGCAGTAATTTGGAGCCATCTACCTTCGGTTATTTTGCACGTATTTTTGTTTAAATTTTTTATGAGAAGATTATTTTTATTAGATGGTAAATTAAGGCGATCATCGTCCAATTATTATTTTGACCCACACATCTGTCGGACCAAATAATTAATTTTCTCACATCTCCAGCTTTTAAAATAGCGTAGGTGGAAGTGATGTGTCTTAAAATACATGAAGCGATTTCAGCTGCACCCCTTTTTGCAACTGTTTCATGCCAAGTATACATGTGAACAGTATTTTGCCCCAAATTATGTATAGCGAAGTTGTAATTTGAATACTGCCGCTGATAAAAGACGTCCGTGTGTGAGAGTATAAATCACTTGCTGTAAGTCAACGCAAAGCGCAAAAATATGGGAACTGCCTAAAGCTGACTTTGTGTCATCACTCAGCTTAGAATATGCTTCTTCAGCCTTTTTGTGATGTGCCTCTGCCAGTTTCTCTATGCATCTTATTTTATCCTGGTCTTCAGGGGCAATCGTTTCTATATAATACTTATTGCAGAGCTTACAAGTATCGGACCTTGGTAATCCAAACCGCAAACTGAATTCTGCGTTAAATATATCTCTGTATGTATTATAACTTAAAGTGCTATCTGGATATTTTTCCTTAAATAATTTAAACATTTTTGTAATAGTTAAATCTGGATGGAGGCAATTTTTTAAACTAGAACGACTGTAGTGACTTTCTTGACAAGGAAAGCTTTCTATGTGTTCCATGACACTTTTCTTTTCAGCATTAACGATTTTATTCGGCCGATTATCATGTCGTCCGCGCTGATCACTCAAACTATCTCCCGCCTTCAGTTTTTCAACTAAAATTTGAAGTCTTCGTTGTGTCACTTGAAAGGTACGACAAATCATTTGTTTGCACCTCTCATTTTCTCTCATTGTGCTGTGGTAGAAAATAGTTCACAGTTACATTTCGACGTGATGTGCCCTCTGCAACTCTTCTTCTTTGCGGTTCTTTCAATTCGATTAAAGAGCGTAAAAAATTTGATTGCTTGTCATAGTCCATTTGATAAAATTGAGAGAAATGCTTCTGAATAGTCTCCAATTTGAAGCTTGAGCACTGTAGATAACAAGCGCAGTTGAAACTCTGATGAATACAAAAACAAAACTGATATTGACACAGCTTACACTTACAACGTTTTTCCACATTACCGTTTCTGGATCATTTTTTTATGTACAACTTTTCCATTTCTTCCTGAATATGCTTCTCCACTATTTCTCAGCCTCTTATTACTTATATCTTTCCAATTTTCATAATTTATTTTACGTTTTTTTCCTTTATTGCACTTTTGAATGGTGCTCAACACCTCTAAATATGCCATGATCACCAGCACTTAAAACGTTTTTYCACTCACTACTGACTTTAGGACGCAGCTCAATGGCTAAAAACTGATGGATATTGTAAAATTTTGCGCTCTCATAATACGGGAGAGCATTATTAACGGTAATTTGCAATAAAACAGGATTGCCAAAAAATGTCACTTACAACGTTATTCGAGGCGATGATTCAATTATGAATAACACAACCACTGAAATTGAATTTCGAAGCCTCATGTAAAGGGATGGTGTTTGAAATCTGATGTAGAGTTCAAAGTTTTTTTATATCAAGCTGCTGAAATATGTATAATTATATACCGGTTCTGCAGTGAAAGGCTAACTAAATTAATTTAAGTGAAAATGATAGTACATACTGTTACATAACGGGTGGTCATAGTAGAGGTGTTTTTTTTGACAGATAACGCGAGAGCTATAATATTATTTTTATTCAGCGTCTGTTTGGCATTTCATCATGGAAATGCTTACGCCTGAACAACGTTTACTAATTGTTTAACTTTATTACGCCAATATCACGATAATCTTCAAAAAAATTAATGCCAAAGAATGTTCTTTCGAATGATAATAAGCGTCCCCATTAAATTAGAAGTTTTTGTGTTTTTGCTTTAAAAAAGTAGGGAACCTCGAATTGGATAACCCTATATATATATTTAAAAGGGTCAGTTATGAAATATATAAATATATATGTGGTTAAAAATAAATTACTTTTCCAAGTTAAAGCATACAAATAATATTATACTTTCGATATTAACTTATAAATGTTGCTGCTTTTTTGGATTGCAGTGAAAAAACTGTAAATCTAAATAACTTCAAACATAATATATATTTTTAAGAGCATCCTTCGTCGAATGTTTTTACATGCGTAATTTCTTTGCAATTCAAAAATACATTGCTAAATTACTGCACGTATTTTACCATTGTTATGAAAAATAACTCTTGGTAAGTCATAATCTGATAGGCAACAAGTAAGGAAGGCTAAGTTCGAGTGTCACCGAACATTTTATACTCTCGCATGATAAACTGATAATCGAGATTTCAGGCGTGGTTATGAACCGATTTCACGCATATTTAGTACATGTCATCAGGGTGTATTATATACCGATTTTCATTGAAATCGGGCGAGTAGTTCTTGAGATATGTTTTTTGGTCCATAAGTGGGCGACGCCACGCCACTTTAGTGTTTCTGACGTTTTTTGTTAGTCGGCTAATGCACTTTAAGTGATTTTCAACATAACCTTTGTATGGGAGGTGGACGTGGTTATTATCCGATTTCTTCCATTTCTGAACTGTATATGGAAATGCTAGAGTGAAACAACTCTGTAGAGTTTGGTTGTCATAACTATAGTAGTTTCCGAGATATGTACAAAAAACTTAGTAGGGGGCGGGGCCACGCCCACTTTTCCAAAAAATTACGGCCAAATATGCCCCTCCCTAATGCGATCCTTTGTGCCAATTTCACTTTAATATCTTTATTTATGGCTTAGTTATAACACTTTATAGGTTTTCGGTTTTCGCCAATTTGTGTGCGAGGCAGTGGGCCGATTTTGCCCATCTTCGAACTTAAGCTTCTTATGGAGCCAAAAAATACGTGTACCAAGTTTCATCATGATATATCAATTTTTACCCAAGTTACAGTTTGCACGGACGGACGGACAGACGGACAGACATCCGGATTTCAGCTCTACTCGTCACCCTGATCACCTTGGTATATATAACCCTGTATCTGACTCTTTTAGTTTTAGGACTTATAAACAACCGTTATGTGAACCAAACTATAATACTCTCTTTAGCAATTTTGTTGCGAGAGTATAAAAATTCTACGTATAACCTACTTCAAGCTGTCTAGCGTCTTAAAATTAAACTATTCCGTAAAACGTTCAAAAGTATTGATCGTAGGACTTGCTTAGATATATAGTTATTATCACGGAGAAAAAATTTCGAAGCAGAGTTTTCCAGGATATCTTTGTAAAAGCTTCATAAAACTACAAATATGCTATAATTGTTTTAATTTGAACATAGCAGCGATAAACGTAGTCCTTCGTTTCGAGACTGAATAAAGTATTCCCTAAAGTATGATAAATACATATACTATACATATTTCGTCTGATGTCTCTAGGGAACTGAGTTTAGAATATACTCATTTACAATTTTAACTACAGTTATAAGTGCTAACACATTTAATGTGTCTAAAAGTGTGCCAACCTCACGTTAATTTCCAACTTTTCTTTATATACGAGTGTATGCATATTTACTTTTTTCACATATTTCCTGGCACTCAACTTTATTTACACTTTGCCTACAACTTTTTGCAGGCAGTGGCGCAGCGGACCTCACTAAGGATCAACGCAATATAATGGTGGACATCTTAGAGGATGTCAGTTCGCCGGAGGTGAAAAGCTTAAATGTAGGCCGGTCGTTAACCGCGGCACTATGTGTTGCGGTTACATTTTAAAAAATTTAAAGCTGACACACTGCTGAATGGAACACATTGCTAGAATGTCTTTTTAAAGGTGAGTGTGGCGTGAGAAGACAGGAAAATTGAACAACACATGTATAGTATAAAGAGTAGTGGAAAGCGTAAGAGCGGTAGTTAGACACGCTCATGTAAAAAGTGCCATTAGCAAATATTTTCTCTTAACTGAACAGATTGTTTATGGGGGTTTTGATATATATTTTTGCAAATATAATAACAACAACAAATTTTTTGCTCCAATATTTTTTTATGTTTGCGCTGTTTGAAAGCATGTAGTAGTAGTTCAAATTGTTCATATGCATGCGCCACTTTTTGGACACAACTGCCACCTCTCGGGAAAATCTGATTTATGGACGGGGCAATGGACACTCGTCCGTTTGGAAAAAATACAGCAACAAAAATACCAGCAATCGCATTCTGTAATTTATGAGTACTCAGCTCTGTGAGAGCGACCAGCACTGAAAAGCGCTTGAAGCGCATATGGGTGATGCGTTTCCAATCTTACTCTGTAGGCGCCTGTTGGTAGACTAGTTGAGTATTTTGGTAGTGAGTAGTGGAAAATAATTTTTTTGGGGTTTTTCTTATATTTATTTTTAATAGGGACCGACTACTTAAATTATGACATATGAGACTGCTTTCGCAGCAACAGAGTGAAAAAATACTTCAAAATAGTTACGTATGCAAGTCTACTATTTGGTCAATACCATTAGCTCTAGAGCGCCTTGAAGTATGCGCAACAAAAATAACTACAATAACAGCAGCCCGTAAAAGCAATACTGATAGGCTTTTCACAGCATGCCAATACAAAAGCAGTGCAATAAGTGGAATTAAATAAAATTGAAATTCAGGAAGATAACTATTTTCAAAATTTTTGCACATCCTTAAAACTATTACGTTTCTTGCGGCTGTTATTTGAAACACGCAGATTATTGCAGGGCAGGGTTGCCTACACTTTTTAATATGGTATTTTTGCATTTTAATTACATACTTACTTCCATGCGTGTACATGAATATTTGTGTATTTTTCTTCGCAACAGATTGCGAATGGCAATATGAAGATGGTTGTCTCTAATCGTAAGCTCGGCATGTTTTGTGGCCGAGCAGATGCAGACTTTCTGCAGTGTGACCAACTAACCAAAGTATTTTCAGGTATTTGTATAACGAAATGACAAAATGTTATGCATTAACTTCAACAACAGGAAAATAGTTTATCGAAAATTCGGTATAACAGTTTTCTAGACGTAAACCAAATTTTTATTATATTATTAAGAATACACGTTGAAAAAGTTATTGAATTATATAACACGGGTTCAAAAAAAAAAAAAAAGAAATGTTACTGTGAGTAAAAAAAAAAGTGTTAGCCAAGCACATAATTAAGATTTAAAAAATGTATTGTTTTGGATTTAAATTTTTTTTGCATTTGCTTACTATTTTTAACACTATTTTAAAATGCAAAAAATAAAATGTTTAATTTTTATATAAAATAACTTGTTGATTGATTAAAACTCGCGATGAATTTGAAAAGAAAAATTTAGAATCTAAGTTTTGTTGAGAGTTTGTTTAAGTAAAAATGCTTAACCTTGTGTACTATATATATGAAATATCAACTATTTTGCATAATATTTGTTAAGTATTTCTGCTCTAATATTGCTATATTACAACGCAATTTGTAATGTTGTTGGAAACCAAATTTTCGACCACTTTATTGCCATTAAATCAATAGAAATTATGTCCCAAACATTTTTATTTTCGACATAATCCTTCGTCTGCCACAACTTAGTAGTGGCTTTTACACGTAGGCTGTATTGGGTATAGAAGAGTTTTGGTCTCTTTGGTACAGGACTTTAAAGACGGAAAAGCTCTATCTCGCAGAACTACAACACTGACTAGTGCACTGTCAACTATTTTCTTAAGCCTGATGTGAGTATTAAACAACCAACCCAGGGAAATAATACAGGATTGCCTACGAGAAAGATTGAACTGTTCATTTTGTTTACTGAGGGTATAATATTCTCAAACGGGTACCCATACACTCTTTTTAACAAAGGAAAGAAGTTATAAGCTGGCTAAGTCCACAAGTCTAAGTCAATGTTATATACTTACTTATAATATATAAAACGAAATTTTGCAAAAACATGTATCTCAAGGTATTTAAAAAATACAATATCGAATTTTAAAAAGAAATCTTAATTTTATAGATATATACTCGTATACATATATATTAGGTTGTCAAAAAGTCTTGCGGTATTTTCGATAGTTGGCACTGACAGCGCGTAGTTCTAGTTGTATTCGTCGCATCGGCTTATGGAAAGCTCATTTCACGCGCTAACACGTGTTTGATTGATTGTCGTTTCATTTAAGTCGTTCGTGAATTATAGCGTCGCAAACATGGAGCAAAATATATAGAAAATACGGCATATTTTACAGTACTACTACGATAAAGGCAAAAATGCATTTCAAGCCGCCAATAAAATTTGTGCAGTTTATGGACCCGATACAGTTTCCATTTCCACCGCACAATGATGGATCGAAGATGCACCACGCTCCGGAAGGCTTGTCGTCGAAAATTGCGATAAAATCGCTGAAGTGGTCGAAGGAGACCGGCATAGTAGCAGCCGTAGCATCGGTCAAGAGCGGGGCATAAGTCATCAAAAAAAATTTTATGAACAATTGAAATTGAATTGGCCTCTCGTCTGCATAACGCTTTCCTTTCATGCGCAAATGCATTTTACCGAAAAGGAAGAAGTCGCACGGTGCCATATCAGGTGAATACGGAGAGTGGTTAATGGTTACGATGTTATTTTTTGTAAAATAATCGGTCACAATGACGTCAAACAAACCGTGCACACACCTTTCGTAAGCCCAAATGTTCGGTCGAAATGCGATAAATCGATGTTTTGGAGTTGTTAAATTCCATTTTCATGAATTTCAATGATGACTTCAGCTGATTTTTGATGAATTAACGCACAGCAGGATTTTGATTGGCCCACATGTTGATCGTCATTTATGTCCTCACGACCACTTTGAAAACGTTGAAACCACTCGTGCACTCTGCTACGGGATAGGCGCTATAAACTTGGTTCATCAATTGAAACGTTTCGGTAAAAGTTTTACCAATTTTAAAACAAAATTTAATGTTGGCTCTTTGTTCGAAGCTCATTTTCGCACCCATAACACAAACACACTGATACTTAAAACGCAATAACTTCACTTCTAATCAATGAAATGTCATGTTATTCTCACTAAAGAATCGGTAGAGATAGCAGATTCTAACGCACCAGTCGGCATATAGATGGCGCCACCAGAGGGCGCTAGATTCAAAAAGTAATGTTTATTTTGGAAAATACCCTGGATATATATATGTACATATATAAATATGTATGTATGTATATGAAGAGTAAAAGGTTTTTTTGCAGGCATGCAATGGTTGGCATCTGCATACAAAACGAATTTATGGCACGCTTTGTGCTTGTACTGCTGTATTTACCTTGCAAATTCTTGTATTCTTCGTGTAATATTTTAACTAAACAAGAAGAAGAAGAAGTGTTAAAAGAAAAAGAAGATACCATTATATGTGTAGAAGTTTATGGGCCAATAAATTTAAAAGTTTTCTCAGAAAAAATTCTGTTTCGCTTTTCCCGACCGTTTAACCGTATATAATTCTTACCTGTAATCTAATCACTTGGTGAGAGCATGGCATAAGTAATAATGAAATATTACTTATTCTTCTGAAAAGAAAGCTTTTTTAGATTAATTGTTTAAAAACATATCCTAGAAGTAAAAGATATCCAAAAATTTAAAATATCTGTAAAATTGAAGCTTATAGAGCATATTATAAAGTCCGTCAATATTATAAAAAAGTTAAAATTTCAAGGTTGGTACTGGACTATAGCTTACAATCAGAAACAATTAAGGTGGAAAGCTTTAACTAATAATTAAAGCAACTTAGGAAATGAAAACTTAAACATTTTGTTTTTATTTGTTAACTTCAAAAATGTACAAAAAAGCCTAATAATTTAAAAGCTCAGCGGAACCTTACTTCGAGTTGAAAAGGGTTAAAAGCAACTTAAGTGAGAAGCAAACAGTGATTTGAAAAAAATAATTACATTGCCAATATTTGCAATCAGATTTAAAGTTTTAAAATTTTTAAATAATTAAACAGGTAAAGCTCACCCAAGTACATAAGAATAGGTGAGTGAAGAATTTACACTGAAATGCACGTCGCCGGCAACACAAATACGTACATACATACATATGTATATGCGCATGTAAGTTGTTTGGATTATAACACGCACCTGGCAAGTTCAATGACTTGACGCCTGTAGCTTCCTTCCGGCTTTGCTGCATGGTCTACTTCACTCTCTACCACGCGCCTTGTACTGTCTGCTTGGCGAACAATACGCTTAAAATTTTCCACACACACATATCGACTACAATTTTAATGTGTGGAAAGTATAAAAAATTTGCTCGAAAGCATAGGAAGACAGTGCACAACAACAATAAAGCCTAAAAAAGGGTACTATCTGAATAGAAAAAACTAAATAAAAAGAGAAAAAAACAAGTAAGGCAGGGCTAAGTTTGGGCTTGGCAGTGGGATTTTGCCCATCTTCGAACTTAACCTTCTTATGGAGCCAAGAAATACGGGTACCAAGTTTCATCATGATATCCCAATTTTTGCTCAAGTTACAGCTTGCACGGACGGACGGACAGACGGACAGACGGACAGACAGACATCCTGATTTCAACTCTACTCGTCACCCTGATCACTTTGGTATATACATATAACCCTATATCTGACTCTTTTAGTTTTAGGACTTACAAACAAAGCGAGCAAATGAAAGTGACTGATAAGCAGAAGTATAAAATCTTAATTGCCTTCAGGTATACACATATGTATAGACGAAATGATGTATATATTTATATATATGTGACCCAAATGCTGGAATGACAAAAAATTTTTTAAAGTTTATTAAACTTAAGTATATTTCCTATACAATGGAATACGATCTTTGAAAAACATCAAGAATTAACAAAATG